AATAAATAAAAGGAGAGACTGGACTCAAAGGAGTGATGTGCCTTCAAAATCAAGAGCCACCTTTTGCAATACAGACGCGGTTTTTTTTGTTTCAAAATTTTGTTGGAGATATTATTCTGAAAACAAAAAAGTGATAATTACTTATTTGTTCTGGAACTGTGTGGCTGTGACTAGGCCTGACGCCATAAACAATAAATCAATTAATCACGTGATAAATTAAAAGTATTGACCTCATTTTAATTATTGGCTTTAACATTTCTTACGGCCTTTTTCTCTTTCTGTTAATGAAACTGAATGAAAAAAGTCTCAACTGCAGTGCTCTCCACTGACCTCTCATTTCCTCATTTCCTTAGTGTAATGGCCAGCGCACACTGCACAATCCTCCAGTTGTCGGCTGTTTGTGCTCCATTTTCAAAACCTGAGCGACCACACATTGGCCGACAGAAATTCTAGGTATAACGGTTTGATTGGGATTGATCATGCCGTGTGGTGTCAAACAATGGATACAAAATAATGTCTACAACTAATTTTAAAACCAGGCATTAATCAATGCTGGGTTTATCAACTGCAGTAGCAATTTTGCTCCAACTCCTATCCTTGTCATTTCTATACTCTTTGCATGAAATGTTGAATAAACATTAATGCTGTTTCCACATATCATCTCCAATGTCTACTGTCCGCTGTTTGAGATTCCTCTCCGTAATTTCCCCTCAGAAAGCACAGAGTGGAATCTGCGCTTTCTGATTGGCTACCTGTGACATTCAACAGGCTGCATAAATGCTCTGTCGGGGAAAACCCCTGATTTAGATCGGAGCGGCCATGATGGTCTACTGTAACACACCACACACTACAAGATGATTGGTTACAAAATCTTACAATGTCCAACGTTCTAAGATTGTCATAAGGGGAAAATCGGGGCAAAATATTGTGTATGTGAACTATTGCATCAGGTGGTCTGATGTTCCCATTGTCTCTAATTAATTAAATCTAATTACTGAAGGGCAATATAGTATACAGACTTCATAATCTGCACTGTTTTGGTTGAATGCAGTATTTATTTCCACGTTGGCTTTATGTTGTTTAGTTTTTATTCTAGTAAACTTTTTGTTAATGGAAACTGAGAATCCATTTTATTTTTGGTTGTTTAGTTTATTTTATTTATCAGTTCCAGTGTTAAGTGTTCTTTTGAATATAAAGTGTATCTATCTTTGGCAGCAAATCGCATGCAATATTACATCATGTCCATTAAATCTGTGTAAAAAGGTCTTCAAACAATATTATTGTTCATCCCAATAATCTGAGATTGACTACATGACAACAATCACAGTCCCACAAACACAAATAATGCTGCATTAAAACATTCCCATTTCTTTAAGATACCAGTCATATATATATATATATATATATATATATATATATATATATATATATATATATATATATATATATATATATATATATATATATATGTATAAAGTGTGATTTATGTCATTGAACTGCTCACAGTAACTGTATTTAATCATATTTTCAAATGAATTGAGAGTCGGTATACTCTCACTAAATAAACAGCAGAGAAAATATTTCAACTAAATCTTGGGGCTCATGGGTATCACATACAGTGCATACCCATTTTGTGAGGCACTGATTTTGACAAATTCATTTTGGTTTCATCTTTCTAACACCTACAGTGCAGCGTTGGCTTGTCTTCCGATGCAGCTACACAGAAGCTTATAACTTGAGACTGAAACAATATATAAGTTGGCATCGTTGGCATCTTGTCAGGACTGTTGATGTTAAAGACACTAACTGGGGATTGAATAAGGGCTAGGGACAGGAATTTATGTGAGCTTGTTGGGTTCAAACAATCGCCTCATTATTTGTCTGATATCTCCAACCTGAAGTTTCAGAATTTAAGAAGCTTCTTGGAGCAAAGGTGAAAGGTCATCAAAATAACAATTTAAAACTCTCAAGGTCATCATGTCCTGGCTGAGTGAGAATCTACACTAACAAAGTAAAAACGCAAAAAAAAAATATATAAATAATTTAAAAAAAGCTTCAATCAGAGATTATTTGGGAGTCAGTTTCCATCTCTGCTGTCAGTCACATTCTGCATTAATTTATTTGTGGGACATCAAACATCCTGAGTGACAAAACGACATACAAAATGAATGAATGCCTTAATTAACAGGCGGGCAAAATGCAATCAGCAGCAGCAGAATAAGAAGGCATGCTCAAAATAAAACATGCAAACAAACCGGTTTTTCTATTAGGTTTTCTGCTGGTTTTTTAATATTGCCTTTTCCCCCTATTTCCTTGAATCTAAATAAAGTCATCTGAATCCACCCCCCAGACCCCAGGGGGGCTACGGCCGCAGCCCAATCAGCTCCACTGGCTCCCAATGCTGGGATTCACTGGAGCACAGCAAATCTGTTTCCCTCTGTTGTTTGTTTGCGCCGGTGTTTGTTTCTCTCATTGTTTGTGTTTATGCGCCTTTTCCCGTTGATGGCCTTCTCAAGTGTTTCTCCGACTCTGGCAATTTTCTGCCTGGTCGCCTCTAATGTGCTTCTCTGTTTATCTGCTGTCACAAAAGAGCTGATTTATATACATTTACAAATCCATGAAGTGACAGTGGAGAATAATATTTACCTCAAAAATGGTAAAACACTCCCCCAAAAAACAACTAGTTATCTTTTTACATGTGCGGAGAAGAAAAGGGAATCTTTGGCGAGTTTCCAACGCCGCATTTTCACAGATGCTATGAGTTTTATCAGATATGAAGTGAAGTCAGCCTCGAGAAATATGACAAATGCCTTTGGGAATATAAATAGTGTACTGTGAATTCAATCACTCCGGCAACTGACTGCTAATGACACAGGGGGAAACTTTTGCAGGCAGCGGTGATGGGCAATATTGCCTTCAGCGGAGGCTACGAACTGGCAAATTGGAACAAAATCGAGACTGGAGGAGATAAATGTGTGACAAAACTAGCGCTGTTGGCCAAAGTGAGCATATGCGTGGCTTCAAAATACTACCTATTCAATGACAGAGAGCAGGAGGATGCATCGGAAGCCCGGAGTTGTCTCCTTGCTGTCTGCCGTGTCAATAACAGTGATCTGTCTGTGGCTGTGGGACGAGTACGACTTCCTGTTTACTGTTTCTTCCTCTGCTTTCAGACATAACTCTCAAACACTTTAAACTGCAGCCAGATATTTTTGCTCTTATACATGAACAAAAAATTTATTGGTCATTTTTTTATTTTTTATTTTTTTTATTACACAGAACATTTTAAAAGTGCCCAGCTTTTAATTTGAAGAAATTTATTCAGTGGAGGAGAAAAAAATCCCATCTTAAAATAAGTTGGGGTTAAGTGACAAGTGGAAGCTGGAATCACACCTACAACCTTCTGATTGCAACTTTACCCATTGTAGCTCACAAAATAAGGCTGGGTGATAGGGACTAAGAATTATATGCTGATATTTTGTGGAACTATTGTGATAATGATAAAGATTAGGATTAAAATATATATATTAGTTATTTTTCAAGTATCTGTGAATGCATGGCACAGCATTCATATCACCTCTGCTGGTGCAGATTTATCAAATCAATTTGTAATTCAGTGGGTTTATATCTGTGTTTAAAAATACATTTCAGCTGTTTTTCTGTAACGGATCAGTACTGGCCGATACTGAAGCTCAGAGATTGGTATCAGTAGTAAAAATAAAAGCGAACCGGTGCGTCTCTACTATTCTACTAAAAATACAGTATATCAATAGTGCATTTAGTGACATTCTCTGTGGAAATTCAAAGCAAATACTGAAGGAACAAACTGAAAAACTGTTAAAAACATGCATTTATTGTTATATTAGCAGTTTTGTTTTTTTTCTTTTCATTTTTAACCAAAGTTACTAAAAGCCATTATGAAATGGTGGCTGGTGGCTCTGAAGCCAGAGGTTGCAGATCCTTGCCTAACTCCTAGTTTGTTTCTGTGTTTCAGAGGGACATTGCTGCTGCTTTGGAAGATAGGAGTTATTTTCAGGTTTTTACAAATATTTTACCAAAGGTGACAACATACTTATCTATGTCTGTATATCTGGAAGCCACTGGAATGTTTTCTAGAGATGCTTTAAGTCAAAGTCAATGGTGATGCACACAAGAAATTATACACCAAACACAAAAACAACAGGAAATTCCTAGAGCCTCCAACCCGAGAGCCACATACAACACAGGCCCACACACACCTACTTCACACCCACCCACGCTGAGTGCACTGAGCGGCATGTTTTTTCCTGATTATACCCTTTCAATATCTCAGTTTTCTTCCAAAAACAAAGATGGAAGTGAGTGAAAAACCAAGAGGAAAGTGGCGGCAGCGAATGAATAGCTGAGAGTGTTGGCATCCATGCAGCACAAAAGAAGAAGAAGGGGGGAAAAAAATCTGACAAGTCACAAGAAAATAAAGGAAATGCCATAGAAAGTTTTGGGGAAAAATATGTAGCATCCAGTAATGAGACATTCCATTATTAAAAAAAAAAAAAAAAAAAAAAAAAAAAAGACAGTTTTACAGAGAATATTTTAGATATTTTCTTCATCTACCATGAATGTCTACCACGTTTGTGCGCAAGCCAGGGAGAGTCAGAGAACTTGACAAAGACCCGGGCCCCACAAGTGGATGAGGGGCTTTCATGCAAATATAACATTTGGGACGACAAGCACATGCTTCCATTTGCATACCCATTCACCCCGACTTGTTTATAAGTGAATAAATCTAGCGCTGCTTAGAGTGCAACAGCTGCTGCTGGGCCACTCACAGCAGCACTAATTCACCCCATCACACACACACATGCATTCAGCCGCCGCACGGCTCCCAGCTGCACCGCTAGGGTTGCTATGCACACCCTCATATGTATGTGTGCAGATGTGCATGCGTGCTGTTCATTCTTGGAAATGTGTCCACGTGTTGCTCAACGTGGCTCACTGTGTGTGCTAACGCTAACGCTCACCTTGGACGTGTTGACCCGACCCTCTTGGAAGGAGCAGTCGCTGGCGTTCTGTGTGCACATGTGGCGGTATTTGCACCAGTGGCAGGGGAAGTTAGCGTTGACGCAGGACAGGCACCTGGAAGCAATCGAAAATTTGAGACAAACAGGAGGGGGGAGAGGTTAGAGGAGGCCATCTTTTTAAAATAACAATGTAATTAAGAGCTAAAACCCAAGGTTTTAAACCACTTTCTTGTTTTTTTGGTAATTATGTACATCACTCTTCATTCCAGATGTCTTTGCTCTTCACCTTATTTCCCTCTATGAAGGTTTATTCTGTTGGGCTTATTGTGTATTATTACTTAATGTGTAAATTATGTAATCTGAACTAATTATTTTAGTTTTAGTTAAGTTTTTCTTCATTTCAGTTACTGTTATCTTGTTTGCTTTAGGTAAATGTAACATATATAACATCATTATAACACCATCTGTGGAACCAATTGCCAAATGGAGGACAATCAAAATGACTGAAAACAAATTCAGGTCTGGCTGACTAGGCGAGTTCAGAGCAGGCTGCAAAATGCTAAAAGAAATCCCTAAAAATTGCAGGAGATGCCAAGAAAAAATGTCTTTAGTTATGGTACTTCCTCAAATGCTGGTTGGAGCATAACTGCAGTGTCTGCCATATGGGGCCTGTGAGTGCAGGTATACTCAGGATGGACACAGCACATTAGGGTGTAGTGTGACATTCCAAATTACAAACTCAGGTGAATTACCTGTGGACCATATAAAAATGAGTTGCATTTTTATCACAGCAGAGTTCAAGCTGCACTAGAAAATGCTTGGCACTTCTGAAACATTCTCTAAATGAACAGACATCTCAGCCCTGAAACTCTGTTGCACCAAATTCTCATTGATTATCAATAAACATATCAATGTAATCCAGAAACGAAGCAGAAACGAACAAAACCCCAAAAGTCTGAGGGTTTAAATCAAACTCTGACACACTGAGAAAAAAAACTAACTTCTACAGCATCAAATGTTTATGGTGAAATCTCCATAAATCACATTGGAAAAACAAATGTAACTACGGACTCTTGCATTAAGATTATATTCCAGCTGTCAAGCAGGCCAAAGCGGATGCTGAAAACAGCTGAGAGAGAGAGAGAGCGCAGTCAGAGCCAGAGCAACACTCACTCCTTCTTATTCTCCATGCTTGGAGGCTTAGTGAGAACTAAGCTGGCAGACTAAGATAAGCCTGTTTTTATATAACGTTTTTTCTCTCTCTCTCTCTCTCTCTTTATTCATTCAGAGTTGAGGAGGCAAAATGAATATATACACATTCAAAGATGGATTAGAAGACAAAAACAAGGCTATCATGGTGGAATGGAAGAAAATACTGTGCAGGAATAAAATGGCTAGTTAAAGTTTTTAATTTACTCAGTGTCAGACATTTAAGAGGAGATGATAGAACGTAATAGGAAAACAACATTTTCTCTGCTTGATCACATCTTTTGCAAGTATGTTCTTATCAGCACTGTACTAAATTACTTTCTGCTTTCCGTCAATCATGTGGCTCCTGCTTGAAGAAGCACAGCCTTCCTCTGCCTAATCTTAGTCATATATAAGAGAACACACAATCATTCAACATGCAAACGTGAAGAGTGACAAAAAAAAACAAGCCTGCTTTTGAAAAAGTCTTCAACTTTTCCTTGTTTCGTCCTTTTTTTTTTTTTTTTTTCTTGTTTATGCAGGATGTTGTTTTCTAGCTTTTACATCACACCAAAACAAAATGGGATTAAACTGGGTCAAGAAATCTAATGTTTAATTAGCTGGCCCTGCCAGAGTGCTCAGTCAGTTGTCCAGCACCACCCACAGTCAATGTTCTGTAGATTAGATCCAGTAAAAGGCTACTGAGTCTCCCTACACATCACTGAAAGGGCAGCTAGAGAGAACATGAGTTAACTGATATGAAAAACAGGAAACAAATGTTGTTCCTGTGGGCTTGGTAAATAAGCAACTTGTTTGATTGGGCCAACTGTCTAATTTTTTTAAAGACAGAATAAAGACCAAAATGTAGGAAAGAGCTTTTCTTTATTAGCTTTGTTGGAAACACAATATAACTGAATCTTTAGATATGAAAACATGTTCAAGAAGTATTTCACCCTCAACCTCGATCTTTCAGTCTTCCCCAGATTCACTTTGTTCAAAAATGATGTTGAAGAGATATACCCAGGGTGAACACATCATGTTAGGGTGTGGTGTGACATTTCAACCCTATGTTGGAACGCCACATTATTTGGATGTGGAGGGATGTTTATGTTTGTGGCTCCAACATAAACTGTGAAGTAGAAGTTCATAATACTTCTTAAACTGGAATATTTCCTCCTCTATTTCCATAAAAGGGCAAGTTTGACTTAAAACATGCTGCAGTTTAACAGGAAATAAACTCTATGAGATATTAAGCTGGGATAACAGAAACAGAATGGTGTGAAAATTCAACCAACTTGACATCCTTTAACAACAAAACAAAAGGTTCATGATATTATTAATAATACTACACTACATACTAATGTTGTTTCATCTGTAAGGCTTTTATCCTGACACATGATGTGAAAAAAGAGGGAGGTACAGACAATTATGCTGTTACCCGATCATATCTTTTACATAAAAAAGAAATCTTCATTCATCCTGCAAAAAACTCCTTTCTACAGGTTGAAGGTTGTGGTGTACAAACATCTACACTAATGTGCTGATACTGCATGGGAATTATAATCCAAGAGCACCCATGTTTTTTGTTTTGTCACATATTCCTCTGCTCTTTTGAAATGTCTCAATATTCTAATTGTTTATAAAACTTAAGTGCTTTTGAAATGCTGCTTATCTGCTTAGACACAAGAACTTTACGGTAGGTACATTTTACAAAAGTAAAAGCAAATGTTTACTTTGTTTCAATTCGCTACCAGAAAACACGGTTTCAATACTTTTGCTTCCATTTCTATTTTGAAAGAGGGACTTCATGTATTTCTTCTCAAAACTTGTAATGATTGTACTGAAAACTTCTCGTGCTCACACATAGTCTCTGCTCGGCGCAAATCTTCACTTGTAAAACTCTCTGCTCACTGGCTGGAATTTTCCTGCCATAACTTATCAGCACACATTTTCAGTCTAAATACAGGATTTCATGTCTTTTGTTCTCAAAACTTGTAATACTTCTGCTTACACTTTCATTTTGAAAACAGGACTTTATTGCCTTCTTAAAACTTGTAATGCTTGTACTCAAAACTTCTTCTCACACTTAGTCTCTGCTAAGACTCTCTGCTCACTTACAAAAAATGGAACTCCATGTTTTGGAGGTTCCTCGGTATTGTATCTGGTACTCTATGTGATACTCTATGTGGACTCAAAGCGCATGTCCACCGCGCAAAGATAACTTTTTATGACTCATTTAACTACCCAGTGGCAACAGTGTTCAGACTGAACTGGTTTTCATCTGACACCAGGCTGGTAAGGTTGAAGATAGGGGTTACATGAGCTAATATTGTTGACACCAACATGATAAGAGTCGACAGAGTTGTTGCGCAGACGTCACAGAAGCAGAAGCAAAAATGCTTCACAGCAATAGGCTTTACTGGATATATTCACACAAACATTGACATAACATAACAGCCCAGACATGCTCATCAGCAGCAGAACAGAGGTGGTCTGTCAAGTTGAATCTGATTTTTTATTTTTTTTCTCAAACAAGTTGTGATGATCGGGTATATGCTCATTTTGGATTGCTGCACAAATTAAGTCAATCACAATTGTGCTTTTAGAACACATTAACTAACATTATTATGAAGTGATCCCATTTGATAGTTAGCATAAGCTCTTTTGAATTACTGCTTATCTGCTTAGACACAAGACATTGTTTACCAGAAAACGTGCTCATCTCTTATCTACAGATTAACAATAAATATTGTTTATTGTTCAAAAAACAAAAGATTTATTCTGCTATTTTTAAATACTACCAGATAGATCCAGCTGCATGTTCCGATACATATATTGTGGGGGGAAGGCAGCAGTATCAGCAGCAATAATGGTGAAAGGAAGTGGCAGTTATTATGAGCTGTAGAGTAATAGGAGCTTTCCATGCATTGCAGGGAGGCATTAAAATGCTTTGTTTGCTTCGACAGGCCCCAATAATTGTGTTGAAAACTTCCTAATTCCCTTTTTCCTAATCTTTATCAATATACTAAATTAGATTTTTTTAAGTAGATATATTTAGCATAATGTTAGCATAAAGTGAAACTAGCATTGCATATTAAAGATAAATCTTGCCCACACTGTAAACCACAAAAACATCGGAATATAACCAACATAAACCCACAAGGGTTCTAATATTTAAATAGGAAATAATTGTAAATGTAATTTAGGCAGATCGCCATCACAATATTATAATCTTTTTTCCTTAATATAGGATGGTGTGACTGACAAGTCACATGAGAAAACTTCATTGTCATAAGTCTCAGAGAGGTTTAAACTTAACTGGAGGACAACTGCTCAACTTGCCAGATGCCTGAAAGGACGTCGTAAAACCTAATTTCACTCTAGACCTCGCACTGCCTTTCTCTACATCCTTGGTTTATTCAGATTTTTGTGAGGGCTCCTCCTAATTCGCTTGCAGTGGAGTGATGGGCTCGTGGCAAAGGGCTTTACATAGTCAGAGATAAGCTAGTGAAACCAGACTCAACTGCAGTCTGAGGTTTCTAATCAATGTCAGTGTATTTCCACAGGGAGAGGGGTGGGCTGAGGTTATGCTAACAGTCCGATGTTTGTTAGCAGAGATCGTGAGTCAGTTCCTCCTTGCTATTAACCCCGGGGTTCATCGATTTCTTGTTGCAGACGCGTGCGTGCACATTCACAGGCACGCTATGTATGCTTGCGCCTCTAAAAGCTACACACAAACACTTAAATGGGGAGACAAACTTACACACACAAGCTGTCACTTGCATTGACATCCAAGCATTCCTCTGGGTCACCTGGCCGGTTGAGACTTGTCTTACAGTAGAGATGTCAATGCCTGGACAACAGACTTGGGGTAAGTGGTTGTGCTGCTGCTGCAATGTAGTCAATAAAAATCGCCTGCTGTTTAGC